ACTCACATCTCAGAAAGTGGTGTCAATAAGCTCCATCCTTTTCCTCTATGGCCTCATCTTGTGGCCATAGTTGGCTATTGTCACTGAAAGCTGCACGTATTTGCTCATGTGCGTTGTGGTCGTTCACAGTCAAGTGACTGTTTGAGGCAACTTTCCGATTGCTCAGTTTTCACTGATCTGCACTTCATATGGATATTGACATTTAACCATGCCATACAGTGCTCAAGCCTTTAAAATTAGCAGATTGTTTTTCTTATTAATATTTTATAATTAAATGACTAAAAACACGTATATAATATACTTCTGAGCTCATTTTCCATAGATATGTGGTCCTCGAATGACAGCCACTGCAAACATATGATTTATTGAATATGATGCTAAAGATTAAACAGAATGTAAAATATTTCAAATGAGCTGAATTTTTAACGTATGCATTAGTAATATTAGTCCATTTAAGACTGAAGATTATTCTGCAGAAGCATCCTTTTTAATAGTCGACATTTCATTGAAAATTTTTCAGGTTGTTTTTAAACTGTGTTTTATTTATTGGTTTCCTTAAAGGAATGTTTTCAAAAATTCCTCCACCACATTGTTTTCTATAACGCTTAGGCTTCTGCTCCTGTTCCTGTAAGGGTAGTTCATTTAAGCTGGATAAACAGGTTTCCTCAGTAGTTAAATCTGCCTTCTTCCAATTGCGCCAAATTTCAAAGCTCAAACACTTAATGCTGTACAAAGATCTTGAAAAACTGATACATGCCTTTTTGACCTCCACATTAGATCATTGTAACTCGCTCCACTCTGGAATCCAACTTGCTCACTCCAACGATTACAGCTCGTTCAAAATGCTGCGGCTCGTCACCTAACCACAACTAGAAAGTTGGCCTCTATTACTCCAGTGCTCTCTGACTTACATTGGCTGCCTATTAAATTTCGTATTGATTTTAAAGTTCTGCTGCTTACTTTCAAATGCCTAAACAACCTTGCCCCTGACTATCTCACCGACCTCCTCAGTCTCCACACTCCCAGCTGTTATTTACGATCATCTGGTCAGTTACTTCTGGCCCAGCCCAGGCACCGTCTGAAAACCAGGGGTGATCGTGCTTTTGCCTCTGTAGAACCAAACATCTGGAATAGTCTTCCTGCTACCATTCATGCCTCTGACTCCATTGAATCCTTTAAAGCACGTTTGAAAACTCACCTATTCGACCTGGCTTTCCGACTCGCTAATTCTCACCGCTCATTAATTGCTGTCTGGATAATCATGATTCCTCCCTATCTCCACTTACTAATGATTTTGCTTGTTTCTCTATTTTACCTTGTTTTAATGACTTACTGTTAAATGTAGCCTTTATTCCTTACTGTGAAGCACTTTGGTGTACCCCCGTGCTATATAAGTAAAATTCTACTGTATTGTAATAAAGTACTTACTAGTTTATTACTATCTAAATTAAATGATGTTAGGACAGAAATATTAGCTTCTTTCATGATGAATTAAGTTCTAATTAATTAAGTTTCCAGTAAAATGATTATTTGCAGCCACAGATTCCCAATTCCCAATCCAGATTACCTTCAATGCAATAACTTCTATTTTCAATCTTTGCTTCATTTAAACTGCATCATACTTATATCGATATCTGTTGTGATGGAAATTCCTTTTTCTTTTATGTATTGATCATGTATGTTAACAATAGTATACATATAGAGGTATTAGTTAAAGAGATGGAAAAGATAGAATCATATATGTGTTTTATATTTTATTCTACACATACGCAATTAGGTAAGTTAAGTAAGTTAAGTTAGACTGACACATCCAGGCACCATGAGACATTAGGCAGATAGCAAAAGCCTCCTTATCTTAGAGAGGAGGGGGCCTTGAGGGAACGATTCAAGAGGTAAATCTTTAGGTGACAGTTAAATGAAAAAAAAGGGGGCATTAGAAACTTTAGGATGAAGTTTTACTGGACCCTCTTTCCTACTGAAACACCTATTTCACCTGAAAGTAAGTTAGAAGCAAGGGTGTAGATTTGGTTTTGGCATTGGTGGGGACGGATGATTCAACCACCGAACTCTGCCCCGTTTCTCTTTTTCCCTTTTCGTCTTTGCTTCTTGATAAAAAAAGGAGAAATTTACTTGCTTACATATGTTATTCTACGTGCTTTTAAACCATTTGAAATTACAATTCATCGTTTTATATGTGAATTATATAATGTTAAATTACTATTAAACAAATGACTGACTAAGTATTTTAGGCTTTAGTTTACTTCAACCATATTCCATATAAATCAAGTGTCATACAAAAATAAAAATAGCTTCAAATACAGTCATGACAATAAAAGAATACGACTTTAAGGACTTAACAACATTAGTTCAGTTATAGTACACCAACATCTGATACATTAGCACTAAGGGAACACTGAATGACCTGGTGGGTTTTGTCCATAAAACTACTC